CTTATAAATATTGATAAAAGTAAATTATATTTAATTTGTGTTGTGTTTTTAAGAATTTAATAAATTTATACAATGTGAAAAGTGCACATAAAAAAATCCAGAAAAGGTGAATGTACCAATCATGTTTTGAAAGAGGTATTAACAAATGTTGATATACGTATTGTGCATTCAATGTGGTAATTAATTGTGACACTGTAGTAGTTATTTTTATCATGGTTCTTGGAAAACAGCCCATACATGAAATAATTCACTCTGGTAAAAAAAAAAAGAATTAACTTGCGTTCTTTTTTGCGTCGATGTCTGGGATCATTGTAGACATGTTTCTTATTGTATGTTGGATTATGCACAAATGAGGCGAGGTTTGACCTATGACCCCACTCTGCCTGATCTCTGCTGTAGTCAATAGTAAAAACGTGTGCATGTCCATACTATGGGAACTGTCACGTCTTGTGTAGTCTGAATTCCTGACCGTTACACACTTCATGTATGCCAGTATCTCAATGTACCCAGTATATGTGTGAAGTAGTTTGACAGGTAAGCGACTATTGACGTGATGTAAACATTAGGCACCTTTGCCTTTACATAATATGTTTTGATAATAGAACATCCTATGTGTAAAGCAGTCTTTGTGTTGGATGGAAATTCATTATAGACATTACCACATTCAACATGTTATATCAAATTTGTTTGTCATATTTCAATTGTTTGCTTATTTATAACACTTATACTTGAATAGTATATAATATGCATGTAATATGTAAATACAGCTACTGGTAATCTTAAATTGCTGTGTACTTACCCTCATAAATTCTTGGTGATATTATATTGTATAGAACTCTATTGACATTATTTTGCCTGATTTTAGTGTGTTTTAATTTTCTTCATGTGTTTGCTAGTTTAGGGACGCGATCATTAAAATAGTATTTAGTCAAAGCAAGCTTGCCAAGTATGTTTCTTTTCTGCTTTGCTAATAAAAAATAACAATGTGTATGTCTTATTTAGTTGGGAATGTTGCTTCACAAAAGCCTGTGGGTAAACGCTGTTTGCTCGTTAATGGTGAGGTTGGTTGTTGTCGTTTTTTTTGTCGTCATTGTAGCGTGAAGCGAGGGTTTTGATGTCACACCGCAACTTGATATCATCGATGCAGATTGGTTAACAGTTCAGTAAAAACACGCTAATGGGAAAACTTGTGATGGTCATTTGAACACGATCTGGAAGGTTGCAACTGTAACTAGCTAACTGGGTACTGACATATAATTTGTAAAGCATTTGATAACATACAAGCACAAGATTGAGTGAATTTTGTAAAAGACAGTAACTACATGTATGCCTGTGATTGTCAAGTTGTTTTCAACTACAACAATCTACATACATATAAAGTTATGTGCAATTGTTCTACTGATACATGCTTGTGTCCTATAATAAACTGTATTCACTACATGATACTGTTTTGAATAAATCCACCGTGATGAATACTACAGGCTGGTGATTTGAAACTCTTGTTTTGGTTATTTATTACCAACCTTTTTTTACTTGATAAAAAGCAAACTGTAATAGCTTTAATTACCTTCTTAAGTTGTTTAATAATTAATTAGGCAAATCATAGAAAATGGCAGTGTTACTTGTACATTGTAGTTTATAGATCATGAAATCATGGATACTCTCAACTCATGCATAGTGTCGTATCATATAATTTTTATGTGTCAAAAAAGATTAAAGAACATTGACAAATTACAGCATTATAGTACAATTAACTGGTATGTCTGTTTTAATAAAGAATATCATAAAAACATCTCTTGAATCTCGTCTAAGGTTATTAACATCATAAATCTAATGAAAGTAGGTGTGTCAAGAATAAACAGTATCTGAGCTGCTGTTGTATTTTGTACTGCTGATATTGTAAACATAAAAATGGATATAAATCAAGTTGAACTGTACTTGAAATGCCTATAAATCAGTGTATAAAGTGTGTCTGGCATTGTACTGTGTGTTGCACCACTCTTAGGCTGACATATGTAAACCCTACCCACTACTACTACTACTAATCAACTACAGTTGAGTCTTCTGAAAATAATACTACCAATGTATTCACAGATGTGTGTCAATAGAAAAGTATGTGACCATTTCTATAGCTATTCCTGGTTTTAATCCCTATTTAGTGTGAAGAGAGCACACTGTACTTGGCGAATCACTTAGAAAATATAATAGCAGGTTAATGTATTGAAGCTCTAATTGTATTTGGGATTTTGTGTTCTGCTTGATGCAAGTAACTTTTATCAATGGCTGTTTTGTAAGCTGCTAGTTCTTAGTTGCGCATTCCTGCCTTCTTGAGGAGTTTCTCAAAGAACTTGAAATTTCCATGTATTGTCAAACACGTCTGTAAAATTAATCTGTCTAATATTGTGTGTTTCTGGTATTAAATCAAGTTGATATTGATTATAAGTTTTTACAAATTGATAGTAGTAGGTCAGGTCAGGTCAGGTCCGGTCGTTCTTAATTAGGCCACAGTTACTTATCTTTTTTAGTAACCGTGATTAGGCTGACATATTTAGTCATGTATGCTATTACTGGGTTCCCTTTTAGGTAGTACACTATTAACCCTAACATACCTGTATCAAACCCTTTTAGGTAGTACACTATTAACCCTAACATACCTGTATCAAACCCTTTATAAAATTGTTTATCATACATGTATATTTTGTACTAATAAATTGTTTCATCTTGGTGTACTGTCTAATTATGCCTGTCACATGCTTGTTACAAAAATTAACCCAATTACTGAACACATAATTATATTATTTCTGTAGGACAATCATGAATATAAATTCAGTACTGCATATTGCTGAACTTGAGCTATTTAATATTAGCTTTGTTTTGTCTTGTACAGTGTACCATGGTTACAAATGTATAGGTGATATGACTATTTTCTAAAAACACCCAGAGTCAACTTTGTTGTCACAATTCACAAAATATACTTATATAATTAATTCTATATTTTTCCCCCAAAAAATTGTCAATGGAAACTATGTTGATTTGGTTCAAAATTAAAAATGAAACTAGAATACATACAAATTTTGTACTTTTTCAAGTACATGTAGTTATTATACAATGTGTGTATGTTTGTACAGTACATGTACATGTACATTGCAGTAAATGAAATGTGATCCAGTTCATATTTTAATTTTCTCTATTTCCTTCATAATGTAATTGCTAGCATGTGCATTGAATTAATGTGTCCACACAAGAATTATAATGTCTTAAAATGCATACTGTAATGCTTAATGCATACATAATAATCTCCTTGGTACTAGTGAAATAATCAGATTATACTATCAGATTATAATTATTAATCCAAATTATAGACATGCGTGTTGTATAAAGTCTATTCTGCCTTACAATTGAGATTACAGTCTCTTTTAGTGACATTACTCTGATAAATGCCATGCTGTGTACTCTTGAAATACTATTCCTATAAAATTTGAGTAGGTGTATTTAACTCAGCATGGTCAAAGAGAATATTTTGACAACATACCCAACACTTATTGTGGAAGCCACCTTTCAAGCAAACTCATTAAATGTGTTTACCCCATAACTCTTGCATTCCTCATTACCTTTCTTGACTTGTCCGCATTCTCTAATTAATTTCTTGCTGAGTTGCAATTCATTTTATATGGTCGCATGTTTCCTGGGCACACATAATTAAATGTTTTTTTCATAATACTTGGTTATTTGTAGTGCAGACCATTTAATATTAAAAGTCTTTATTGTTT